TTGCCCTCTGAAGTGCAGCAGGGCTGAGCTCAGCAGGCTGAGGGCAGCACTGACCTGTAGTGAGGAGCGGGCAGCTGCTGGATGACGTCCCGCATTCTGACCAGCCGCTCCTCCTCTGTAGTGGCACCAACAGCATCCTGGAAAAGGGCAGAAAGGGATTGAGACACAAATCAGGCGAGATACCTGCCGCAGGGTCGGGAATCATGGGCACAGCGCGCTGCTGGTCAGCACTGAGAAAGATTTTAGGCCTCCCCAGAGGCATCTGGCAAACATAGCGGCACGCAGCAGGTGCCACCACGGCCAAGGAGTCCAAGCACCGGGCCGGTTTACAGCCTGGTTGGGCAGCTCAGCTCCTCGCAGGGGGCATTCATCTCCAAGTACGCTTGGCTATTAATCCCCTTCCTGTTCCAGAAATAGCTGGGGAATAGCAAAAAACAAACAAACAAACAAACAAGACAGGAATTCTCACAAGCACTGTGAATATGGAAATAACCACCTCCTGGGGCCACCAGAAGCGGCATCAGCACGATGCAGGATGTGGCAAAGACATGCGAGTAAACCCCATGGGGCTAACAGAAGAAGGGCCTCAGAGCCGGGGCCCTGCTGCAGCCATCTCCCAAGAGGCCCAGCGAAGAGGGAAAGGAAAGGCGTTGCCTCGTGCTTACCGAGAACTTGTCGTACAGCTGGTCGGTCAGCAGGGGGGTCGGGAGCTCCCTGAAGTACATTTTGCAGAGGGAGCTCGCGCTGTGAACGTCGCGGACGGTTAGCTCAGGAACCTGCTCACACTCAAATTCCTGGCTGCAGAGAAGGACACGAAAGCGGTTGAGAAAGAGGAAAGCAAGTCAAAAGCCACACCCAATGCAATCAAGAGTTGGAAGGGCTTCCTGATGTACAGGAGAACACAAACACTCGGCCACCAGCACCACGTCAGCCGTGCTGGATGGGATGTTCCCAAAGGAGACCTTTTCTCTGTGCTAAGGCATTGCCCGCAGGCCTCTGAACGCCCGCAACAGGGCACGTGCCCCTGCTGGCAGCTGTGTCTGTCAGTCGCAGCACTCTTACCGCAGTCTCTGGACGTTGGACGCCACGCCGGACAGGCGGTATATCCCCTGCACCACGCCATGCTGCTCGATGAACTCGGCGCAGCTCTGGAGGACCTGGGGGACTAAAGAACACGTGCCGGCGGTTACTGGAGCTCCTTAGTCAAGTCCTGCCTCAGGCTGCGCTCCCGTCACATCCCATCCACTAAGCCCAGCCGGGCTTGGCTGAAGCAAATACAAACGTGCTTGTCTCTTGGGAGCATTAGCCTCACTTCATCTTTCAGCCATCAACTCCCATTCCCCGTTTCTCCACTGGTATCAACCTGCCCCTTGCTACATACCATCTCCCTTTCATCGTTAGGTTCTCAAACAGGGAAGCTCTCAGGAATGGGCTGTCCCTTACCATCACGACCAGAGTGAAGAAGATGCTCTCCCAGGTCACGGCCGAACACCCTCTCCTTCTCCACCTCCTGCTCTTTCCGTTGCTTTGGGCGGGCCTTCACCACGGAACGAAGGAAGGTGAGGAGCTTGCCGCGCTTCTTTGGCACTGCACAACAAAAGGAAGAAACCAGTTCATCTCAGGTTTGGCTCCGTTGGACGAGGCCGAGCACAACACCTTCTACAGAGCACCTCAAAACGGGAAGAACATGATGAGCAAGTGCGTACCAAAATGGATTTTCCCCAAGCCTGGATGAGTCCAAGGCCAGACTGGATGGGGCCCTGGGCAGCCTGGTCCAGTCCCACTTTAAACGTGGAGCTTGGTTGGCAGCCCAGCTTGAGGCAAGGGGGCTTGGAGCTTGATGATCCTCGAGCTCCCTTCCACGCCAAGCCATTCTACAAGGATTCTAGGATTTCCCCAACTCCAGTCATAAACACAGCAGGACTGGGCCAAATCTCTGCACGTTCTGATGGAGTTGAATGCACTCCTCTTGCTTAGCTTGCTCAACCTGGGCATTAAGGACCCTCTTGAAAAGCCACGTTCTGATCAAGCGTGTCACTAGCACAACCAGACCTCTATCTGTCCACCAGGGACGCTGGCTGTTCTCAGCCTCGTACGGACTTGCCGGAGAACTGCCTTGGCCTTCCCTCATTCTCACTGCCTACAAAACACCAGCCATACGCCCCGTGCTATGCAGGAAGGATTATCAGCACAGAGGATAAGGGGGGAAGGATAAGGGAGGTATTAAACACGGAACACACCCAAAAAAGACTCCATTTTGCTTCCCTGCACCATCAAATGTATCATCGTACCTGGCTTTGGCACTGAATTGATGAGAGACTCCGGGATTTTTCCGTTAATGAGCTCCACACACTCACCAGGGAAAAATCCAACCTGTAACAAGAGGAAGAAGAGACGTGCAATACTGAAGGCAGCGTTTCTCAGGCCTGAACTGTTCAAACATCACATTTTCCTCATCACGTGCCTGCCAGATGCTCCGTAAGACAATCCAACCAAAAAATGGCCTGCTTAAAGTTAATAATTATTCCAAATTGGCAGGCAAATATCCATAAAACTGTGTATGGAGCGGGGAAAGGACAAGTATGCTATGCACCCCTAAATCTCAAGCGTGCCCGAAGGGAAAGACTTCATACAGAAGCTATATATTATGATAGATTGATGCAGATAGATCTGAGTTGGCACAGCCTATGAACTTTCTGCTTGCTGACTGAGATGCAGCTGCCATCCCCAGCTCTGAGCTACCCAGCGTTCTGCAGCCAGCAGCAGCAGCAGCAAGCGCGCAGAGGCTCTGTTACCCTGCCTCATCTCAGCTGACAGGCAGCGACTTCCTAAAAGACGCTGACTTCACCTTCTGCATGGGTGCAAGCACAAGTGCTCAGAGACACTGAAACACGTGTCCTAGCTGCTGCATTTCCAAAGGTGCGGTTCAGTGGCCGTGACCTGATGCACGCTGTGAGGGCTCTTCTTTCTAAGTTAACTGAGGAGGCAGTTTCCTACAAAGACCAACTTTCAGCTCTGGCCTAAGCCCACAGCAAAAGGGAAAGTCCTCTGACACCAGCACAAGGAAACCATTTTCCATGTGGAGCCATGCTGTGCAGGCAGGGCAGCTCTAAGCTGAGATTCCTGCCTCGACCGAAGTTGCGCTCTCACGTCTGAAGCTTGGGCCTACCTGAAAGCCGTGCTTGCCTCTCCAGCGGGGGCTCAGCTCCTGAGGCGGCATCTCGATGACGCACACGAGGTCTCCCACCTGCAAGAGATTGCAACGTCAATCCCAGCTTCAGCACGGCTGGGAGGAAAGCGCAGCTCAAATGACTGCATTCTTCTGCACTGCCCAATATCGTCAAGCTTGAGAGCCATTGCACCAGTGCAGCTCTTCAGGCATTTGCAGTCGTACAACTGAACGTGCAAGTAGAAGAGTCACTCCAATACACAACATACAGAACTCAGCTGTTCAGTATGAAATGGTTCTCAGAAGCAGCAGGCTCTTTGCCAAAGGGAGAGCTCCAATTAAACCGCAGGCATAAGTCAGCCAAACAGATCCTGAACAGATCTGCACACTCCATACACTGCTCTGCCATTGCTCAGAGACCAGGCTACCACACTGGGCAGTAGCTCTTGGATCACAAGATTCCAATGCCAAATAGAGCCATAGTTTACAGATGGCTGAACTCCTCCCTGCATCCAACCCAGTGCAAGTCTAATCTGGAGCCGCACCTTCTGAGCTTCACCTCACCAAACATTCGGAAGGTGTCTGAGAATATTCCTGAGAGCTTCACACGTTATACTCTTCTGTACAGGACAACAAGGAACGCCCTTAACTGCTTACCTCCAAGGAGAGTTCACCCGGTGCCTGGGCAACGTATCTCTTAATAACGTGGGCAGCAGCAATAGCTGGGATATTAAGAGATGACTCCTCACGGACCAGCAGGGGCTTCCCGTTGTTCTCAGCCTGAAACACAGAGCACAGGCCACGGTGAGGAGCTGAGGGCAAACGAGGAGGATTTCAGGCTGAGGAGCATGTCAGCAGAGAAAGCTGCAGGAAGTGCACTCCGTCCTTATCATGGGCACACAAGAAGGAACGGCAAGGCTAAGAACATGCCCGCAGCAAGGAAAGAAAGCCTTGAAGGCAGCTTTTCAGTGACACCGATAGAGCCGCAAGGATTCGCTCTCTTGAAAAGCAGGAGAGCACATCTGCAGCTCACTCTGCTGGCTCAAATCAGGGAACAAAGACCAATCAGAGCTCCACACTCTACCTCCATCCGTGTCATGCCAGGCTCACAGCTGATCTCGCTGCACGCGATGCCCATCACAGCAGGCACGACAAGCTGGAATGAAAAGAAACACGCTCATATTTTCTCTCTTCACACACCACACTATTGAGAGACTTCTTCAGAACTACCCTTGGCTATCCTCTGGCACAGGCGGGTGCTCTAGAAGCAACCACTCTGTTCACTCCGTTCAAATGGGACAGCCCATTAGGCAGCATTTGACCAAGCGGCTGTCCCTCTGCTAGCAGATGGGGACTGGCACAAAGCAGCAGATGCATTCGCCCAGGGCGCTCTGACAGCGCAGCAGCAGGGCAGTGAGAGGAATCATTGCTGCAGGTGCATCTGCTCCCCGGCCCCGGCTCCCAGCAGCCTCACCACCGGCACCTGCTGCAGCCCCGCACATCAAGGATTTCCTCTGCTCGCATCTCTGCTCTGCTCCCTACAGCTGCCGCGCACACTCTCACAGGCCAAGCGTGCGTGCTTGTGACCTTGGGTCACGCTGTGCAGCTCAGCACAAACTGGGCCTAGGACTCTTTGCCTAAGGGATTGCTTTCCTTCAGACCAGCTGGTCACAGCACCACACACAGCATCCTCCTGAGGGCGGAGCTGCAGGGGAAGGGAAAAAACCCACACGGGACCAGTGTCCCATCAACGCTGGGTGAGGCTGTGTTACCAAACATGGTGCGACACAGTGCTGGTCAACCACGTGGGGGGACAAAGCGTGGCACGTACCTGGCAGGAGATCAGAACAAGGTAGACAATTCCTTGAACTCGCAGCTGTTTCTTGTCACTTTGCTCTGTGCTTCCACGAGCGAAAGCTGCACCAAGGGAGCGGATAGAGGAGAGAGAAGGAACAGGTCTGTGAGCTTGCACAATGCAGCAAAGATGACAAGGGAAAAGCCACGGGACAAATGCCATCTTTGTGGATCGCTTGGGAATGCAGGTACTGGCTGAAAGTTACGTCTGATGGACAAGAGTAAGCAGTACGAGCTGCTAGGAGCTCCACCAGCCAGCAGTTTTCAACAGCTCACTGCCCACCCGTCCATCCCACGCTGTCTCAGCTTACCTACAAGATGCTGCACAAGACACAAGGGGTGAAACCGAAGGCACTCAGTCGCTGCACAAGGGCAACAAGCGAGCTACTCACGCAGAGCTCAAGCGCTCCAATGAAGGGACGCAGCACGCACTGCTCCTCCCCTCATTCCAGCCTCTTGTGACATCACTAAGGGCCACCAGGCTGCTCCGCCATGACGACAGGGTGGGGAGGCAAGACCATGTCACAGGACCAGAAGATTCCAACACCGCACCCAACATTCTAGAATCAGTGGGCCCTTGGAATTCTACCTCAGCCCAATCCTGCACAAGCTGCCATGCGGTTGTCATGACCACAGCGCAGGACCCAGCGCTTGCTCCTGTGCAGCCTCGTACGGCTGGCCTCAGGCCGTCCCTCTGCAGGGCCTTCCTGCCCTCGGGCAGATGGACATTGCTTCCCAACAGCGTACCTCGCAGCGCAGGGCCTATGTACAATCCACACTGCAGTCCTATCGATCTGTATCAAGCTATCTATACCCAGACACACAGTCACCACTACCATCTTCTTTCTGAGTCTTGAGGTACACCATTCAGCGGTTTCATTGCCATCAAACAACCCCACTGACGGCACACTGCTGACACAACGTCCTTGCAAACACAGCAGCAACTCCTGGCACCGACAGCTCCGGGTACAACAAGCACAGGGCTCTGCGTTGCTTTGGATGCAGTTGCAGCATGGATCTGAGGGCTTTGTGGAAGGGGATATATTGCAAATGGCACCGACGTTTTCAGACCATTTCTCTTTCGGCATGGTCCCAGCACCTGGCATGCTGATCATCATCCTGAATATACATTTTGTCAAAGTTCTACAACTAATGAAATAGTTCCTTACCAAACGCAATCTGATCACTCTTCTGGCCATATTTTGTTCCAGCTACCGCTTCCTGCGGGTGGCACCAATAGCGCTGCATCACCTATAGCTCTCTGCTCTTACAGTTCTCATGCTGTCTGGGCAGTCCTCGTGGCCTCACAACTCTCTCATGCCACACGTGCCACATTCTGAGGCACAGAAGATATATCGCACTACTTCAAAACGCCTTTTTTTTTTTTTTTTTTTAATACAATGATACTAGGGATAATCATCTGGAGCTAGAGCATTATAAAAAAATTCCCTTTAGTTCAACCATAAGTCTGCCCCATGGACTCCAGAAGAGCTCTAAGAATATGCAGCCTGGACATGGATGGCAGCTACCATAACAGTAAGCAATGAAAAATGAGGTGGTGAGCCATGCTGTGTCATTGCATCTGCGGGCAGGGATTCTCCTTGGACTGAGCAGAGTGCAGATGTCGCCTGAGAAAAGAACTTAGGATCATTCAGGAAAAGCAAATGAGTTGAGTAATTAATTGAAGAAACTCACGTTCTAAAGGTACTTAGAAGGAGAGAGTATTTCCCAACAGAATGGGTTTAACTGTCTATTCCCTGTTTTGCTAGACAGGTCTACTCTGTGTATGCTTAGACTGACCTGAGAGGGCATGCTTCAGCACACCCCACAATTTCCAGTTTCCACATCGTCCAGGCAGCGCAAGTGCGGTGTACGTCTCCCTTGGCACAGACATCAAGCTTTTCTTCCTGTGCAATCAACTAATTATGACGGGGGAAGGGGACAGTACAGGCCTCACAAGAGAAGAGCCTGGCGGAACGATTTTAGAGCTGGGAGTCAGGCAAATGACTCGGCTCAAGTGCACCTATACCAATGCACGCAGCATGAGCAACAAGCAGGAGGAACTGGAAGCCATTGTGCACCAGGCTAACTACGATCTAGCTGCTGTTACTGAAACATGGTGGGACTGCTCCCATGACTGGAGCGTTGAGATTGATGGCTATAAGCTCTGCAGAAGGGATAGACAAGGAAGGAAGCCAGAATATTCATCAATACTGAATTGATCCTGCAATTCAGGAACCTCACAAGCAACCTGAAATAAGCGTCTAAAAAAAAAAAAAAAAAAGAAAAGAAAAGAAAAAGGAGAAAAAGGTAATCAGCATACCAGCAGCTGTTCTTCTTCAAACCATGGTTCCCAAGCATACTGCAATTGGACAAGCTATAGCTTATCACATCAAAAGCCATCTAGAAGATTCAGTTATTGGTACTGGCCATGTCGGCATTCGCTCACTGTAAGCATCTGCAGGACAAGTCCATGGACCGAATGACCTTGTGCACCCATCCTTCTGTCTCAGCTGCAAGAATAATCCTCACTCCCAGCCATTTCCAGTTTTCTTTCTTACAAAAGATGAAAGATATAAAGAAGCTCTTCATTCAAAAGTTACTTGATTATACAAACAACTAAATTCCAGCCTGCTTTAATCCAAAGTGCCATCTAGTTTGCATACAGAGAACTAGGGTGCATATAGGAAAGAACGCACGCACACTCTAGTTTTCAATGGCCAGAATATCATAATAAACACATAGAAAAACAGCCTTTACTCTGGAGGCTTGTATGGCAAAGCCAATTGTTTGGACCAGCTCATTAATATACTATATCTAGTTTGTCAATTCCAGCTACGTATTTTATATGTCATTATGATCAATGATTGTGGAAGCCCAAAGGGCAATCTCTCATTTTCAACAGACCTCCTTTTTGACTGAGATGGAATTTATTACATTTAAAATTCATCACTCCTCTTTGTTTGCAACACTGTCCACTGACAAACTCCTCAACACAATCAGCTCAAGTCTTCTACCTGAATTTCTGGGATGACTGTGACAAGTATTCCTTCACGATGCTCAGATGTGCACCGTCTCCCATGAGCATCTTGCTGGACGCAGCATGCTGCAGCATCTTTGCAACAAACCAAGGTTTCTTCGTTGATCTGCAGTCAGCTGCCCTCCAGCTGAAAGATCCATTAGGTCAAATGCATCCGGTGCCACCATGGCCGGATTCACGTAGCCGTGATAGAGTAAGTTGCCAACAATCTAGGACAAGTTGAGGAGAGAAAAAAACACGTGGAAAACCAATGGCACAGACCTCCACTGACTTTTACTGACACTACTCCGAGTGAGTTCTGACCAATTACTTTCCTGTGAGCTGTGGGCCCCGTTCCAGATGCAGGGTCTACTGCGCTGCCATTAATAAGCACATGCTGTCCCAAAGAATCTTAGTTTCACACTGCAACATAGATACATACACTAAATAAATGCACAACGGTGCATTTAATCCAGAAGTAAGAAACTCAGAAGTGCCGAAGATGAGCGGTATTTGACATTTCAAAAGAAGTCCAATTCACCAGCTAAGTGAGCAGCAATGAACGCCGAGGCCCCAAAGATAAAGACAGCCCGTTATCCACGTGCTCATCCATCTACTTCTAACCCGTATTGGACATTTGCCTGCAGTAATTCCCACAACAAAAAGGCATTGGCCCAGCACGCTGACATGCAGCAAAAGTTCCCACGCCACATGCTTCAGTATTTCCTGGAGTTTCACATCAATCTGCGCAGAGCCAAGTCACAGAATCTGGGCTTCTCCTGCTTCACGTGCGATTTGAATGCACAGAAGAGATCAGAGGTGTGAAGAAATGGCAAAAACAGAAAGAAGAAGCTTCGCCATTGCTAAGCTGCCCCAGAAATTAACTGCTTTCAGAGAGGTCATGGTTTTGACAGCGGTTTCAGCTCTTGCTCTACTATCCCAGGTGACGGCACATGGTCACAACAGACAAAACTGTTCACTACCAGTCATAAGAAACACATTTGTGAGAGAAATCATATTGATAATAGTAAAACATGTAGTAGGAAGACAAGAACAGTACACTGTAGGAGTAGTTTTAGGCCCTAATGCATCTACAGGCAGTCACCGCACGCAGCTGCAGTTCAGAGTGCGGCATGGGCCGTGACATTGTTTCCACAAGGATTAATAAAAACTGCAGCTTTCCACCTACATTTACAGATGGAAAAAATGAATTCACCTGCACAGAAAGAATCGATGCCTCAGAACGGGAAAGCACGGAACCAGAAGAGAGAAGAAAACGGCATTCAGATTGGGAATTACTTCGTAATGAAGCAGAGACAGAAAAGCTTAAAGAGACTGTGGCAAGTAATGTCAAAGCCACTCTTTGTTTTATTAAGAAGAAGAGCACTCACAGACAGAAAGACCTTCAAAATAACAAACGCCAGGACAATCCCAATGAAAGCCACAATGCTGTGCTCATTTGGAAGCATTTACTACTAACATCCTTTTCGTTCTCCAAAGTACGGAAATGTACAACACAAAACTGCCCACACCTCATGAAAAATGACACCATATACTTTGTTGCAGCTACTGTAATGCCCTAGAATATTGTAAGGGAAGTGAGAAGAGTAGAATTCTGCACACGGGCCTTTTCAACTTGGCACACTGTCTCTTTAAAAAAAGAGCAACTGACTCAGATAACACCAGCAAAACCAAGGTGCACCATTCAGCAGCAAGAGCATCCCAAAGCCAAGAAACCTAGGGGGCACAATGCCCAAGATATTAAAAGCAAAAGGAAAAGCAATAGGGTGACTTCTTCTGAACGCTGTATTATGTCTCCTTTGACAAACATGTATCCAGCAATCCAAAGCACAGGGCAAAGTACTTTATACCCATAACAACAAATAGCCTGTCTACTTAAACTGCAGCTTTGAAACTTCTCTGCACACGTACAGCCAACAAACAACACTGAGATGCATCTGCTGCAGTCAGCGTGGCAGACAATGATTCACAGAGCTGCTCAGCTCCTTACCTTCAGAAGCTCATCCTCGCCAGCATCAGGAAACTTGTCATGCCGGGAGTCTTTCAGTACCTTGGCGATGAAACGCATCCCGTAACTTCGAAGGAAAAAAAAGGCAAGTGAGAATTCCTCACGGATGAACCCACTATTAACTGCTGCAGGATAACGCGGTGACACACCAGACTTACGGGATTTGGTCAGCTGAACAACGATGGCAGACAGGAACTTGTCTGTCACTGCCTTCACATCTCGGGTTGAGGCATCCAGGTGCATCCTCACCTCACCGTGATTAAGAGCTTGTTCAGGTGTAACATCGTACGGCAACTTGCTATTTGGAAAAGTCAGATGTGAAGGTGAGCACTCCTCAGCCTAATATACTTTTGTCAGTGCCAGGCAGAATTGTTGGCTTGACACACAAACAGATCCACGCTCACCTGGCTGCAAAGAGCTGCACGCTTTCACTTTCATTAGAATGCTAGCACTGAAAGAGCAAAGGACTTCTCACGTCCTCTGCTGTCCCTGCAGCAGTCGCTGTGAGAACAGGCCCAGCTAACTCTGAACTGTATCTTTCTGTACCACATGCAGACACGCTCTCTAGAGTCAAGAAGGTCACCTGCGATACGCAGTAGTACCTCAGGTCGCAAATAAATCAGTGAAAACACAAGCTGCACATTGCAGTGTTAAGATAGTAACTCACGCAGCGTGCTGCGCTGGGACAGTTGTCTTTTACTTCATAGCATTGCTTTTCCACCACTTCCCTTGAAGTGCCTTAAAAACAAAACAAATACAACCAACAACAGAATCCTCAAAATCTGGTCAACATCAAGCACTGGAAGAAACACAGAACTCTGACTGGGGACGGATGGGAGCCCATCAAGACTTTATAGACACAGATTAAAGGGAGGACAGGGACAGATGACGTAGCGGGGGATCTACAGGCCAACCAACCAGGATGACCACGTGGATGAAACCTTCTCATGGGCAGACAGGAACAGCTGCATGCTGTGATTCTATGAACACGGCCTGTGTTGAGAAGGAGCACAATGCTCATCTCGTTCCAACCCCCCGCTGCGTGCAGGTTCACCAACCAGCAGCCCAGGCTGCCCAGAGCCACATCCAGCCAGGCCTTGAATGCCTCCAGGGATGGGGCATCCACAGCCTCCTTGGGCAGCCTGCCCGAGTTGTGGGCAGAGATTGGCTTGGTAGAGTAAGAGCTACGGTATCTGTACCTATGAGTTAACACAGAAGAAATGCTTTGGGGCTTTTTTTGGCCTATCTCTTCATGAGATTCACTTCTCATAGTCTCAACACCCCTGTCACAAGATGATCTACTGCGTCCAGTTCTGGGCTCCCCAGTACAAATAAGACAGGGATCTCTTGGAAAGAGTCCAGCGGAGGGCCACGAAGATGGTGAAGGGCCTGGAGCATCTCTGCTATGAGGAAAGGCTGAGTGAACTGGGTCTGTTCAGCCTTGAGAAAAGAAGACTGAGAGGGGACCTGATCCAGGTCTATAAATATCTAAGGTGTGGGGGGCAGAATGGTGAGGCCAGACTGTTTTCAGTGGTGAGTGGAGACAGGACAAGGGGAAACGGCTGGAAACTGCAGCATAGGAAGTTCCGCACAAACATGCGCAAGAACTTCTTTACAGTGAGGTGACGGAGCACTGGAACAGGCTGCCCAGGGAGGTGGTGGAGTCTCCTTCTCTGCAGATGTTCAAGACCTGCCTGGATGCCTACCTGTGCGACCTGCTGTAGGGAACCTGCTTTGGCAGGGGGGTTGGACTCGATGATCTCTGGAGGTCCCTTAAAACCCCTACAATTCTGTGATTCTGTGATCTTTATACCTGTCAGAAGAAAGCCATCTCGAGCTGATGGAAAAAAGCTGGTAGCAATTGGACAGATGCATGCAATGAATACAGGGATGGTTCGGAACGATTAACAGAGCAATGCAAAGCAGCTGAGCAACTTTCAGAAAAAAAACAGTAGCAACAGCTTCCATACCCGGCCTCACCATTCTGAGATCCCATCTGGTTCACCCAGCACTTGTAAATATCCACTGGATCCGTTCTGACGTTGAGCGATTCGCCCTCAATTATTTCCTTCACAACTGGGGCCAAGATCTGCCTCAGTGCGTTCTGACCACGGGCACCACGGTTGAAAGAGCGCATCTCAAAAATACAGAGGAAACAAAGGGACTTCTACACAGGCACAACTATTTCCTCTCAGTATTTCAACAAGTAAGCAATCAGCAACAAGAGCCATTCACAGCATGCCGCTATGGGAAATCCAGCAGCAGAGAATAAAGCATAGACATGCACTTTCCTGAACTACTGCTCCAAGAAAAGATAATAATAATTAAACAAACCTTTTAGGCGTTACCTGTTGGAGGGCACATACCATCCTCACACTTAAAAACATCAAAAAAGGCATGACTGCCTCCAACATTACATGTATTTGCTATTCCTAGCAAGTTGTGAAGCTCCGTATCAGCCAGAAGTCATAAACACCAAACTCCTAAGTGCCAATCAACTCAATTATGCCGACAGACAGCCAGAATCCTTAAGCCTGACAGCCAGGAAAAAACCCAAACCAGACAGCATCTGATTTTCAGCCTCCTCATCAGTTTTGGAAAACAGTGACCTTCGCGTCAGCTTCACTCTGGCCTGTAAAGCCCAAGCTCGCAGTCTGTGCCAAGTCCTTCTTACTAGACAGCAGAGAACTTAGATGGGAATGAATCTTAGGAAAGCACTGCAGTAGATCAAAAACAGTGCCTCCCTGAGCAAGAAAGCACTGGCTAAAGAAAAATGGCTTTAATCCTAAAGAACAAAGGTAATTCCTCCTCCTTCCAGGTTACAGAAAGGACTGACGTGAAACAGCATGAGCAGAAGGCAGGGACAGTTCAGCATTATCAGCTAATGAGCACGGGACATCACACAACAACAGCTGCAATTTTAGCAGCGGCCCAAACTCAGGCAACAGCAAGGCTGTGTCCTATGCTACAACGTACTTGATCTCTTCCTGCAATGCTGTTTGCAACAGCCGCAACAGCAGAGATTCCTCTCTCTGACTGGATGCGTAGTTATGCAGCGTGAAGATGGCTGAATCCATGAACTCTGTGGGGTTGTTTTGAGGCATCTGCAAAAGCAGCTTGGCCAAGTACGTTGGAGTAGTCTAAAACAAGAAGAAAAAGTACTTAGTGCACGTGTATAATCAATGACTATTAAGATGTTGTCATTATGAAATAAACAAGAGAGTTTGACAAAGCAGACTAAGCTAACAAAAGGAGAATAAATAGAAGGCTTACCCCTATCCTGGGCTCACTTACAAAACTCCAGCAGAGCAGATCTGCAGACGAGATCCTTCCCCACTGGCAGCCAGCTCTTAAACAGGTCTAGGAGGGCTGTAGCCTGGCTGCACCCCTTCCAGCAGCACAGCTGCATTGCCTTCACCTGTGCTCCTCTGCCTGACTCACTGCTCGCCTCAGGTGATCAATCAGAGGTTCAGGCCATGACTCAGCAGTTCCCATACAGCACGTGTCCACAAAAGCCAACACCACAAAGACAGACAGCGCCTCAACACTGCAGTGCAGAAGCACAGACTGTTCCAATACACGTAAGCATCTATGACAAGAGCAGTGAATGAAAAGCTGCATACCTCAAGTAGAAAAGATGCTGATAGGCTTCCAGCTTTTCCCTCTCCTCTTTGCTCAAAGCTTGCAAACCTCCCTTTTGCTCGTTCAGCGTCATCACGTCACAGAGCTGTTCCTTGTTCTCCTTGCTAAGATTTTTGCTATGAGAAACAACATCCTGCAAAGAACACAGAGGGACAGATTCCACATTTAAATAACACGCAATATGGGAAAAAGCTGCACGATAGCACTTCCTTTTGGGTGGATAAGGCAGTCAAGGTACATCAGGAGATCATGAAGTGAAACATTATCTGTTGTAGCAGCGATTTCTGTCTTGTCCCCACATTCCAGAATTGGGTGAGAACCTACAAGGACTAATTGCTTTGAGCAGGGACTACTGTCACAGCTGGTAGCGTTCTGAAGATGCTTGAAAATGCCTTTCTTTCTCAACTGTGCTTGAAGCCCCAAGCCCTGTTTCCATTTTGCTGACTCCCTGCCTCCACTGCTCTGATAACTATGATACTTTTTGCTGCCAGCATCAGCCCAAGAGCTGGAGCCTCCTTTGGAACTGAACTTCACTGCTGCCATGGTTCAGATTTTACACAAGGTCAAGCCTAGCGCCACGCTATTCAGGACCAAAGGAAAAGGTGACTGTAACTTCAGCTTGAGTTAAAAAAAGGCACCGCTGTATCAGCAACGTTGTTCTTGTGTGCAATCAATCGTCAGCAAAGTGACAGAGGGGGCTTCCATCAGCCAACCAACACCAAGCAGTCTGAGCACATTTCCTGCTCCAAAATCACCTCCCCCTTCTGATACAGCACACAAAACGTGAGAAGAAATTAAGGTGTGCAAGTCCATGACTCACGTAACCACAAGTGAAGAGACAAACAGTTCTCAGAGCCTTCAAGCATACCATCTATTGCTTTCCCTTGGTCCCGAGTGGGTTTTTTTCTGGTGCTTTGTTTTTAAAACACTTGAAGCCTTGATGTTTCTGCTGCAGTTCTCTTTCTAGGGATACATAGTAATAAGTGGAACAGTTAGGAACTTACTGGGAGGAAAACCTGTAACTCGGGGGGAAATACTTCCCACTGCATCTGAGTAAGTGAGATCCAGGCTCAGAAGGTCCTCATGCTAACTGCCATTGGCCTCAATTCACTCTGCTCGTCTCCCAGCACTGCATTTCCTACCTGCAGTGTCATTCTGTTCTTCACTAGCAGTCCAATCTTGAGGTCCATGAGATTGAGGTCATTTTCAAGCTGTTGATTAGATCGGATCAAGGTCACAGCTTCCTCACACAGTTTCATTAGCTCCAGCTCCTCCTGAAAATCTGGGTCCGATCGAGCAAGTGAACCAATTTCCCAACCACAGCCGTAGGTGGGTTTTCAGCATTAACTAAAAACAAGAGACAAAACAGCAGAGGACAGGAAACAAATTAATGCATGTGTTACCTCTGTGCAGACAGCATGTCAAGCAGCAGCCAGTCCAGGATCAAATTAACACCAATGGGCTTGAATAACTCCTGACAGCATCCGGAACTTCTGGCATGGAATAAATCACGACAGAAGTCAACGCTATAGGATGAAGTCAGTATCAGCTTAGGGGAGTCCACCTTGCTGAACTTACCCCAAAGATCAGCGCTCCTATTTCCCAGCAGCAAAAGTACTACCGTGAACCAACTTTGCACAGAATCACAGAATGTCAGGAATTGGAAGGGACCTCCAAAGATCACCTCGTCCAATCCCCCTGCTGGGGCAGGATCACCTAGATTAGGGCACACAGGAACATGTCCAGGTAGCTGCTGAATGTCTCCACAGGAGATCCCACAACCTCTTTGGGCAGCCCATCCCAGTGTTCTGTTACCCTTGCCGTGAAGAAGTTGTTCCTCTTATTTATGTGGGACCCCCTATGCTCCAGCTTGCACACATTGCCCCTTGTCCTATCACTGGATGTCACTGAGAAGAGCTTGCCTTCATCCTCCTCACGCTCACTATTCACACATTTATAAACATCAACGAGGTCACCCCTCAGTCTCCTCCAAGCTAAAGAGACCCAGCTTTCTCAGCCTTTCCTCACAGGGAGATGCTCCACTCATCAGGGCAGAGTAGAGGGGAAAGAGCACCTCTCCACCTCCTGTCCGTACTCTTTCTCATACACCCCACGATGCCCTCTTGGCCACGAGAGCACAGTGCTGGCTCATGCTCCTCCTACCGCCCACCAGGATCCCCTGATCCCTTTCTCCTACGCTGCTCTCCAAGAGCTCAGCCCCCAACCTATACTGGTACTCAGGTTGCTCTTGCCCAGATGCAAGACTCCACACCTGCCCTTGTTCTTTCTCATTCCGTTTCTCCCCACCCAACTCTCCAGGTCTCGCTGGAAGGCAGCACAGCCTTTTGCTGTGTCAGCCACTCTGCCCAGTTTTGTGTCATCAGCAAACTTGCTGACAGCACATTCCACTCCCTCAGTCAGAGGGAATTTTTCCTTCAGACACCTACCTACCTACCTATCTACTCTTTGCACCACTTCACCCCAACTGATTTTCATAGCTCTCTTCCTGTTGCAGATCTCACTAACAGTATTTTTCTGCAAATAGAGATTCAAAGCATATTAGCTTTATTCTTTTGGCCACACTTACTGAGGGTTTTGTAGTCTTCTCCTGCTTTGTTTCCTCGGATAAAAGCTTGAGTTTTTATAACGTCATTTATCTAGAATGAAAAAAAAACCCACTTAAGTGGAAAAGCCACTTAAACTTGTTAAGGGCAGAGTAAAAAAAAAAAAGTGTCAGATACTGAATTCATTTCACAATCTCTTACGTTGTCTCTGAAATATTGCAGGTGATCTCTGTAACGCCTTCTGCCTTGATACATCCTGGCCAGTGACTGAATCTACAGGAAAGAATCCCAAAGCAGGTCAGATAAAAGTCTTCTCCACAAATATTGCTACCAAAAATGTTGAAGAAAAAAAAAAAAAAAAAAAAAAAAAAACCATAGCATTTGCTACCTTCACTTCTTGGTCCTTGTGTGCTCGTCAGTAATCCGAACGGATTTGATATGCCTTCCTCTGTTTATAGCCACGCCACTGGGACTGAAAACACACACAAGAAAAAAGGCGACTTTTCAAAGTGAAGAGCAGTAATTTACTATTCGATGCTTCTTTCTGCTGCTCAGTTTCCACTTCCCTTTGGCTGAATAAAATGTAACAGAGACATGCTCATCTTACAAGACATGCCGTAAGAGATATGCAGTGCAGCCTTAACTATTTCTTCCACCACCAGCTGTCGTTGTGAGGGACTTAGCAGCACCCCCAACAAGGACAAAACACAGCTAGAGAACAAATGACTAAAACTAAACAACCAAAAGCACCATCCATTGCACAATTCTCAAGGCCATCTTCAATTCTCCAAACCCACGGACTAATGGGAAGAGGGAGAGAAGTAATTTATACATAGTGATTCCCAGGGAGAAGATAATGAAGATAATTGTGCATGGCAACTGCTTGACTTGAACAAAACGAGTCAGTAAGCGTGCGTGTGGAGAGCAACTGACAAGTACAAGCTTCAAACAGAATTAGGGGATTTCATACCTGCATGCAAGTGATGGCTGGAACTTGCTTCTTCAAAAACCTCATTCTGGAGTTGAATTCCTGACAGACAAGACAGCCTCGACAACGTGCCTGAAGCTTCACCAGCAGGTTCTCTTTGGCCAGCCACAACTGCTCTCGCTCGTATGCTGCCGTGACTCCAGATACAGTGCTCTAGATTAGTGTTATGGTAGGAAGAAGAGCCAGGAAGAGAAAAGGGAGATGCAAAAATGACATGTTACACAGCGGCTTCTGTATTCTGCTCAAGAGAAACTTACAAGTTGCTTTTCGGTGAGCAGCAACACCACCGTCTTGTTCTGGTGATCAAGGTGTGCACATTCTCCACAATAGGACAAAGAGGTGCTGACGTGCAAAGTAGACAACGAACAGGGAAATAAGATACAAAGCTTGCTAACATCACTACTGAGGTGAAACATTACATCTCAAAGTTGCAATAAGGCCTGAAATAGGGGCAACTTCAACTTCAGAGGAAAAGAGCACGTACTTTACCTGCATCTCCTCCCGTGACAGCTGTGTGTCATTCTGCACAAATTCTGTCGGCTCATCCCATCCTCCCTCTCTGGTCCTCACGTTATGATAATGATGACAGCCTCCTCTCACCCAGTGTTTCACCCGTTCACTGCCACTGCCTCCTGAAAGCAGAAATGCTGCTATGTTGAAAGCAAACACCTATCTATCTTCCTCACATACAAATACTACAGGAAGGAAATGCATGGAGAGGGCCCTTCCTCCAAGCAATAGAAGGAACGCCGCAGATTCCAATGAACCACCGCAAGAACTACCTAAGCACAATATATTCTACAAGTGGGGAATATTTCACTGCTACCTTTTTCATTTCCTTCCTACCTTTTTTTTCTTTCCGTTAACAAAGACTTCAGTTTACAAGGCAGCCTCAATTTCCTATAACATGAGATTCTAACAAGATACCCAGAACGCAAGACTGCTCCTCACATTGCTCCCCCTCTGCTTTCCGTTCTACTGGCAATCATCTTGAATTTACTGCACTAGCAGGTAGCTATTGGGGTTCACCTGTGGCCACTTTTCTCCTTTCGACTTCTGCCAACTCTCGCTGGTATGTCTCTGCACACTCTGCAGCGACTCCGTACAGCCCCACATCTGGTGAGCACAAGGCACTCAGGGTAGGGCTGGTATCTCCGTGACCGACTGCTTCATTCACGGCCAGAATGCCTAAGGAAACTTCAACAACAGGAGAGGGCAGGTTACCTGCGCAGTCAGGAGCTCAGTGGCTCACAACAAACTTCAGAGAGCAAGGCACTGTGCCAGTGTACACAAATACCTTCCTGTATTTATGCATAAAAATACTGATTAAAAAAAGACAACTTGGTGTACAACAATCTTTTCAGTACAGTGTGCATCTGTGTATGGCACAGTGTCTGACAGCGCTTTTTTTTGTGCTCTTAGTCCTACCATGGTGCTGATTTATCAACAGTATTTCTCTACAACCTTTTCTCCATTCACTCAGCTGTACTCTGACAACAGCTGTAGTCCAGGCAGCTTCTTCTTGCAGAGCCCTGCTACAGCAGACAACTGACTCAAAAAGCACCTTTCCAGTGACTGCACCGTTCCTAGCAAGAATAGCAACCTGAACACAGAACAGGTTATCAACAAGAACAAGATGAGGAAAGAGCTAACCCAGGGCTACTCCAGAACTCTGTTGCAAACACAGTACAAAATCAACCACAGGTATCTCACCGAAGCAGTAAACACGAGATACAGTCATTTTCAGCACTGAGCAAATGTCTGTTCGCACACACAGAGGTAGAAGGGTATCTGAAGATCTTATTCAGGCTCAAAGAAACAGACTTTAATCCTACTTTTGACCAAATGTTCTTGGGCACAGTCCACCTGCCAACTGCACTGATTTGTGTTGTTACCTGCACTTAGTGCAAAAAAAAAAAAAAAGAAAGTACTTTGAGAATTACTTCATAGAATTCAGGCAACAGTACAACACAAATGAAAGCTAAGATGCACCACAACTGTGCACATGAACATCCTCTATTGGGTTGACTACCCAACCACAGACAGACACAGTGATCTTGCTAATGTCAAACACTTGGACAGAGATTCAATAGGTATCTCTGCCTAGGATGTAACACAGTCACAAGCACAACTGAAATGACATATCCTTCCAAAAAGATTTAAAGAATTGAAGTTCAAAGGCTGTGACATTCATTCTGGAAAGAAAAAACTTCTACACCTACCTGAAGCAAACACTTGTATTTTAATTTCCTTTGCATGTGTACATTTCTTGCTTGAGCCAAGGCACAGCTGTTTCATCCTGAGTGTCCTAAAGAGAATATGATGAGGAAAGCATTCGCAGCATGAGGAAAAGAGCGTCACTGGTTGTGCAAAACAAAACCACCACCTCTGAGCAATTGCAGTTTCAAGGGATACAGGAAGCACTTCAGTATCTTTCTAATCAATTTCAACACAAGGCCATAATGGACATTTGTTACTAGCAGAAGCAACTACAGCATTACCAGGCCAAAACTCTTACCCACAGTGCTGGTCTGTACCACGATCTCACCATCTCTGAAATTGCTGCCACGTTGCAGGGAGGAGCCCCACATTGAACATATGCCTCAACGAGGTAATTTCACATCAACTGAAGTCACCAATCCAGCCTGGCAGAAGCTTACGTGCACACCAAGAACAACTCCTTATTTCATTCTCACTCAGTAGGAGGAAATGCTTCAGCACAAAATGGGTTCCTGAGGAACAAGAACCCTTTCAGGGCCTCTGAGGAAGCTGCTCAGTGATCTTCATCACCAGCGCAGTTTTCGGACACTGCCATCGTGAAGGTTTACACTTAGTCAAAAAAAACAAAGCAAACAAACATACTAAAAAACACCCATGTTGAACACAGTATCATCTCAGTCTCTATGCTAAAATCCCTGCTGGAATTAGAACAATGAGCTCCACAACTGAAAAGATAGTACAAAAAGAAATTAAACACGCGTAGGCAACTGAAAGGAAGCACATCTGCTACTTCTGTGTAAGCATAAGGAAATAAAATAGCATCCCACTCATCTGTTAAAAAAAAAAAATCAGTAGCGTGTACACCACAGAATCACAGGGTTGGAAGGGACCTCAAGGATCACGAATCTCCAACCCCCTGCACGAGGCAGGGCAACCAAACACCACCCATACAGCATTTCATCTTCCTTCCTAAGCCAGTAAGGTGAGATCATTCTTCCTCTCTCCATTTTCACCTGTACATACAGACCAGTTACACAAAGAGGCAACTCCATCTAAGTCAGGAGAAGTCCTGGGCTACCACAACAGACAACCACCATGCACAAAATGCATAGCATCTGCAGCGTCACCTAGCGAGTGATAGGCATTCATACACATCTTGCTAGAAGCATATATTTTGTTTTCTGTTTTCCCCTCCTTCTGAACAAATTCATCACCTAACAAGTTTTTTTTCCTATTTCTCAAACCTCATTTTTGCTTGATGTAACTACACCTATGGACACATTTAACAAATAGCACTAAAAAATGGAGACTGAACGAGACTTGCATTTGGAAATTCACAGCTATTAGGATAAATACTGCCTTCTTATAAAAACAAATGACACTGAACACATCTCCTCATATCTCCAAAAAGAAGGTACGTCTGCCACTCTGGACGTACGATTAGCTAGAGCAATCCATCTCCAGCAGTTCATATCTTGAAGCCCATCTCTGTAGTTCACCAAGATTCACGTGTTATGCCTGCATCTCTCTTTCCTTCATACAGACAGATCCTAACTGGCCAGGTAACATCAGCTGATAGCATGCAGCGTTCACCCTTTCATTTCCAGATCTGTTTCCCAGCTTTTCTCCCAACGTCAGGAATGCCCTCAGTACACAGATGCAAAGGCTTCTTGAGAGGTACTTTTAACTACACCCACCTGTGCTTTCTCTCTCTTAGCCCGAAGCAGTGTGCCCTGATAATGCTGACCTACCTGTGGGGTTACACCCTCCAGTTTTGCTGCAGGAATCTGTATAAGGCTTGCAGAGCTTTTCTGGTGTCTCCTTCATCCAGCGCCTCGCTGATAAGCCCAACAGCCAAAACTCCTACAGAGAAAGGGATAGAAGAACAAATACAAGATCCAATCCTTATCCAATCCTTTACCATCATCACAAAACTGTGCTTTGGAAGAAAAGTGCTGTTAGTGCTAAACCAAATACCCGCTGAGAATAGCAACATCTTAATAGCAATCATTTTCTACTAGCAAAGAAAGCAAGACCACTTCTCCACCTTCAAGAAGCCACACACTTTTGGACACAGTAATAAATAAAGGAAAAAGGAGAAAAAAGATCCCTCGGGGAGACCTCATGAATGGACACATGAATGAGTTCTTCAACACGTAGCTCAAATCCACTAGAAGGGAATTATCAAAACCTCAATGGCCAGGGCTAGTAAGTTACAAGCTTGCAAGAATCCTTCAGAATCAAGCTCTTCACACCAAGCTATAGCTTTGCACAGAACGCCATTCAGAAATACACTGCCTTCACTTCTGAAATACCAGCATTTATTGGATGCATGTACTAGGAGCTGTATTACAACAGATAACAGTGGGTGCTGCCAGGGACAGCGAGGACTACAGCTCAACTAACTGAAAACAGACATAAATAGATAGCTTGCAGTTAGCTAAATGTGAACAAAGCCTGAGTCACACATGCCAAACCTACAGCAAATCACAAAGTCATCTGGCTTGGAATGGACACCCAGAGATCGTGTGATGCAACGTATATTGAATATTCAATTATTGCTTGCTGAAAGAAGCAGCAGTTCAAATCACAGTTGGAGAGTTTACAACAAAGATCTTTCAGAAGAAAGCGAGGAGCTCAGAGTGGATACAACTTGGGTTAAAACACCCAAAGACTGCAGCTTTTTCTTCTGCACGCAGTAGGAGAATCACAGTGTGGAACGTTTTATGGCAGGCACTGCATTTGGACAGAGCAAAGATTAAGGAACAATACACGCTAGGGACACCACAGGAACCAGGATTGCTAAGAAGACCGTACGACTGCTGTAAAAAAGCACCATGTCAAGGACCATTTAACTAACTATGCTTTCTTTAATGACAAGGTCACCTCTGTATTTCACCTAGAAAAGCCCGTTGAGGGCTTTTTGGATTTCAGTCAACTTTTCAGCACCGTTTCTCACAGAATCCTGGACAAAACATCCAACATACGACTAGACAACAATACAATGCAGTGGGTGAATGAGTGGCTGAAGGGTCAGGCCCAAAAAGCCACAGTAAACGAGGTCACATCGCTCTGGCAGTCAGTCACTCCGGGGGTTCCCCAGGGCTCTATTTTAGGGCCAGCTTTCTTGAATGCTTTCATAAAGACTTGGATGTAGGACTAGAAGGTGTTACGAGCAAGCTGACTGACAACACTAAACTGCGAGGAACTGCTGAGTCTGTGGAGGGTGAAGAGGCCTTGCGTAGAGATCCTGAGAAATTAGAGAGCTGAGCAATCACCAACTGCAAGAAATTGAGTACGAGCAAGTGACAGATTCTGCACCTGGGAAAGGGCAACCCTGGCTATACACACAGACTAAGGGGGGAGATGCTGGAGAGCAGCCACGATGAAAGAGATTGGAGGGTCCTGGTTGACAGTAAGTTGAATACGAGTCAACAGTGCTCCCACGTAGCCAGGAGGGCCAACGGTATTCTGCAGTGCATCAAGCACAGCACTACTAGCAGGTCAAGAGAAGGGGACTGTCCCACCCTACTCTGCATTGTTGTGGCCTCATCCTGAGTACGGTGTACAGTTTGGGTCACCCCAGTAGGAAAAGGACATAAAACTATTAGAAAGTGTCCAAAGGATGGCTACAAAGATGGCGTAGGGTCCAGAGGGGAACACATACGAAGAGCAGCTGAAGTCCTCAGTCCACAGAAGAGACTGAGCAGAGACTTCGTGGTGCTCTACAGCTTCCCCACTAGGGGGAGCAGAGGGGCAGGCACTGATCGCTCCCTGGCCAACAACAACAGAAGCCAAGGGAACAGCCTGGAGATGTGACAGGGGAGATCTGAGTTGGATTTCTGTTTCCAGTGGTCCCGCACTGGAACTGCCTCCCCCAGGGCAGCGGTCACAGCAATGAGCTTGCCAGAGCTCAAGAAGCATTTGGACAATGCTCTCAGACAGACGGTCTGATTTTTAGGCGGTCCAGAGCCGAGCCAGGACTTGGACTCCATGATCCTCGTGAGTCCCTCCCAACTTGGGATGCCCCGTGATTCCACAAAACTTGTTACCTACACCAGTGCACAGAGGCATACTTCAAGAACAGTATGAAGATCTACAGAAAGCCTTCCTTTCACACGTTATTCAAAGTTACAGCTGGTAGTGGACCAAGACTACCATGACAATTCTTTCTGTCCTGCACTCTGTTTTTTAAACGCACACCATTCCACTTTTTCTGTGAAGCGGGGCCATTGAATTGTTTTCTAACCGTGGCTTTCAAGAACGCGGTGAAACGTATTCATGTCATTCTGAATTGTCCTTATTCTTCCACATCAATTGTCATCACCTCTAAATGATGTCTAGCAAAAATCAGCTCTGTGTACATTTTACATATTCACATACCTACTTCTGTTCTCAGTCGTATGCCATCAAACTGGCTTCCCATATACACTTCTATTTATCTCTCACACTAAGAGAGATTGCAGGCAGGACTCCACTGTTTTTACACAGAAGCATACAGTAAGAAAGCAAACAACAACTCAGTATTGTCCAATTTATGCTTTTTCTCTATTTCTTTCTTGACAGAAAAC